CACACACACACACACACACACACACACACACACAGAGGAGTGAGAGCTGGCAGCATTTACCAAAATTAGACATCCTCACCTTGGAGCCTCATTTTAAAGGCAGGTCAATATGACATGTTGCAAATATTCATCATTAGCAGTCTTGTTAAAGCAAACAGCAACTGTATTTTTATGATCCCATATGCTGTTTTCTTTACTTTGTTTGTTTTGTTTTTTTAGTATTTTAGGTTCTTTTAATATGAAAACATAGCGCAATGTAACTGGTATCATATACATTGTTAATTTAAATCACAGCCTCAACCCTTTTTTTAACTTGACGTGTGGAGTTTCAGAAAAGAACCACAAGAGGGCAACATCTAACTGTGAACAAACCCTTAAATGAGCGAAAACGCTGCACACACGGTAACAACAGCTTCTGTAAAACATAAAAACATAAAAAGGATTTTCAGCTTACAGCTTCGAACAGCCTGATATGGTTTTTACACTGTTAGTGGATGGAAAGCTTATATCTGCAAGCTGCAGATCATTGTAAGATGAATTGTCATTGTAACTGAAGTTAAGATCGGTCTCATTGATAGGCTTTGACTGATTACATTTATCAGTTGATTGTCACCAACAATAAAACGGCTAGAGATTTTTCATACATTCGATTTATGACATTTTGGATTACACTTATAACACATTAACAATTAAAAAAAAGAGTTAAATATATATTTAAAAAAACCAACAACAACAATAAGTAAACAGATAAATAATGTTCGCACCAAACGTCGGTTCTTTGCTCCGCAGAGCATCTGTGAAATGCTCCTATAATGGGAAGCTTGGGAATTCCCTTCTTTACAGCAAACGGCAGCATGGTCGGAGGTCACTCTCTACACATCTCCATGGTAAAGAAAGAAAACATAACAGCTGTATGCAATCTGTACAGTGATGCCCTCACGTTAAATGGACCACCGCCTTGCTCCTGACGCACGACTGACTCAGCGAGGTTGCGTGAGCGTGAAAAAAAAGGAGGCCCCCTCCTCTCCTACACTACACTTTAAAACTCATGCATTTCAAACCAAGTTCTGAGACAAAGAGAACTCCGGGTGGATATCACATAATTCTACATGAAGCCAGTGTTAACATCAGGTAGGGTTAAAAATATGTGGTTTCATTATTTTATTCATGCTCTTATTATTATTATTATTATTATTATTATTATTATTATTATTATTATTATTATTATTATTATTATTATTATTATTATTATTATTATTTGTTTTTGCTTGGAAATTAACATTCGACTTAAGTGGTATAATAATAGTATATAGTATTATCCTATATTGAAAGTTTTATATATAAAATAGAATTAGATACATTAAAATTAAACAAAAATTCTGATCAGTTACTTCAGCAAATTGTTATTTCTATATACATATATATGTTGTATCACTTTTTTCTGTATGCTTTCGCACAATAGGGCACAGTTCTTTTGACAACACCTTCTAGGATTATCAGCCATGATAACTTGATCACTGGTTAATACAGTGCAATTATAGATAAATTCTGTGGTGTATTTCACCCCTGACTGTAGATTGGTAATGAGTCCCACAAACGTTTTGCATAAAACAGTTGTTTTCACTGAATTCTTTTTCTCCCAGTCTGAGTGTCTGTGTATATTCCAATGGATACATTTAAAGGTGTGACAAAGAGATCTGCTCAGAAAAGTTTCAGTCTTTAACCGATTTTTGTCATGTGCTGCTAAACAGAAAACATCTTTCACTGCAATGTGTTGACATTTTGACTGACAAGCTTTCTTGACTGTATTTAAAACTTTACTGATATGTGTTGTCTGTGTCTCCTTAGGTGAAATAAATGGAGCTAAAACCTTTATTGAAGAAGCTGGGTTCAATAATCCGCGCCATCTTCACTTTTGTCTTTGCTTTGGCCGTCCTGGGTGTGATGGTGTGGGCCTACGTTCAGGGCTATCAGCTGGTGTCGTCCATGTATGGCATCATCTCCTTTGGCATTTATGGACTCCTACTCTCACTCCATGTGTTGGTCCAGAGCTTTTTTGCCTTTGTTGAGCACCAGCGAATGAAATCTCGAACAAAACCATGCTCCTATACCAAAACAATCGGTTTTACTATATCGGCTTACCAAGAGGACCCTGTTTATCTCAGAGAGTGCTTGAACTCAGTCAGGGCCCTCAAGTATCCCCCTGAGCTGCTGCGCATCATCATGGTGATAGATGGGAATTCAGATGATGACCAGTATATGATGGACATGTTCAAAGAGGTGTTTGCAGACCAGGATCCGGGCTACTATGTATGGAATAACAACTATCATACCTGGGATCCCACCCAGGTCCAACATGATGAAGAAAATGGCTCAGCAATGGGCATTGAAGGGGGTTCTGATTATGTGGTAGGAGAGGATCCACAGAGAAAAGAAGTAGAGCGCCTGATCCAGACCAAGAGATGTGTGTGCATCATGCAAAAGTGGGGAGGCAAGCGGGAGGTGATGTACACAGCATTTAAAGCCCTGGGGTCATCGGTTGATTACATACAGGTATCTACTTTTACTTAAGTGTTTTCTTTCTTATTTTTTTATGAAAATAAAAATGAAATGTTTCCAATTTTCAATGACGTTATGTCTCATTTCTCAGGTGTGTGATTCAGATACGAAGCTGGACCCTTTGGCCACGGTGGAATTGTGCAAGGTATTGGAGAGTAATCCCAAGTATGGGGCTGTAGGAGGGGATGTGATGATCCTCAACCTTAAAGACTCTTACATCAGCTTCATGAGCAGTCTCAGGTACTGGATGGCTTTCAACATCGAAAGGTCCTGCCAGTCCTTCTTCAACTGTGTGTCCTGCATTAGTGGCCCTTTAGGTAAGGGAACTCTTTTCTAGCTAAATAGTATTATATTAAAGGCTTAAAAGCATTGATGTAACTCATTGTAACCAACATCTTTTGAATTTGTCATTTCTTGTACTTGTTCATGCAGGTCTGTATAGAAATGATATCCTTCAGCAGTTTCTGGAATCGTGGTACAATCAAATGTTTCTGGGAACTCATTGTACATTTGGTGATGACAGGCATCTCACCAACCGTATGCTGAGCATGGGCTATGCCACTAAGTATGTTTTCTAGATATTATTTATTAGGCACAGAAATTACATAATAGGACTCAACAAAGCTCAGTAGCTACAATAATGATCCTACAACATCAAACAAGCAGGTTCTAAAGGTCTATTTTTTACCCCCTTTCTTCAGATACACTGCTCGCTCAAAATGCTACACAGAAACACCCGCTCAGTTCCTTCGCTGGCTCAACCAACAGACTCGGTGGACAAAATCTTACTTCCGGGAGTGGCTCTACAATGCAATGTGGTGGCACAAGCACCATCTCTGGATGACCTATGAGTCCATCGTGTCAGGTATTTTCCCCTTCTTTGTCACGGCCACCATAATCCAGCTGTTTTGGACAGGCACTCTGTGGGACATCCTCTGGGTTCTGTGCTGCATCCAGCTTATCGGGCTGGTGAAAGCAGCCTACGCCTGCATCCTGCGGAGAAACATGGTGATGGTGTTTATGTCACTTTACTCAGCTCTCTACATGACCAGTTTGCTGCCTGCTAAGTACTTTGCCATTCTCACGATGAACAAAAGCAGCTGGGGAACATCGGGCAGGCGTAAGATGGTTGGTAACTACATTCCACTCCTTCCCCTGTCGGTGTGGGCTGCCATTTTATTAAGTGGACTCAGTTACACCATCTACAAAGAGAGCAAAGAGGACTGGTCAACTGCGGCTAAAAAACTGGAAACTAGATTTCTTATTTATGGCTGTGTAGCCTACGTATGCTACTGGGTTCTTATGATGTTCCTCTATTTTGTGTGGTTCCACAGAGCATGTAGAAAGCGTTCTGGAAGTTACAAAGTGAACGTATAAAGCTGGCCATACACTGTGTGTTATTCAGCTCCTGCTCAAACTGAATCGCAGGGGTTAGAAGTTTGTAGGTCACGATGCAGGGTCTCACACTATAAGGCCCGATGCTGTGATGCGACCTGAGTGCTCACACTGGTCGTGTTAGTCGTGTTAATCGCTTTTCGTTTACTACATGATGCACGGCACACGATTAAGAAGAAAATTGGGCTGATCCCCAAAATGGTCGCACGACTGAAAAGTCGTCTCAAAATGGGGCCAAAAATCACACAGTGTATGTTCAGCTTAAGTCTGAAGAGCAAAAGTAATTTATTCAAATTTAAACCTGACTATGTGTATTTATTTTGTGTCACATTACTGAAGGACAGGGATGTTCTACAATGCTGCTAAAGAAATAAACTGAAAACTCTTTTGAGAGTCAAAAAAAGAAGAAGAAGAACAGTATTGTTTCTAAGATTGGGGAAACCTGCAGTCAGCTGAGACTGAAGAAGTCTCTTGGATGAGGGACGAAATGTTTCTCCCACTGAAGACGCTACGTCCAGATGAACCGAATCAACTTTTGCAGAAAAAGAATGAAAATAATAAAATATTAAAAATCTGTATATAAAGACAAACAATTTTTTATATGGAGATGGTGTTACGTATTCTTTTTTAAATTACACTGAGATGTTTTGTTGTCTGAGGTTCTCTTTGAGGTTAATGGAGGTGATGCGTTTGCATAATATTTATTTATCAGAATTGTGTTTTTTTTTTTATGTTTGTGTATGTCTATGCTGATAATTTAATTTAATTTTAATTTTACCAACACAACAAGTTCAAAGGTGTGTAAGGTTTCTACAGCATTGTTGGTGTCATTGCACTGGATCCTGGATGCAACTTTCTGCAGCACTGCAAGCTTACTTGAAAATAAATGTTATAATATACTGCAGTATGAAATTAAAACAAGCAGAAAACTGTTAAATTACTGCGACATGAATCAAGAAGGACTTAAATAATGTATCACATTGTTTGCTGTATCAAGAAAAGTGAAGTAGGGATGTATTTTGTACAGTGCACTTTATTCAATGCTTTGTTGGAGAGAAAATTTGAGAAAACGTGTATTTTTTATGAATCACCTTAGCAATTGTTTGTAATGGTGGAATTTTTAGGAAAATGTGAAAAAGAAATGATGAAATAAATTTTTTTTTATCATGGACACTTTTGTCTCCGGTCAAATCATGTTACCAATGGAAAACTATGGAAATGCTGACTTGATAAATGAAAGAAAAGTGGACACAAAGTTACATAACACAAGAACATTTCTAACATTCCCACATAATTCACAAAGCACAAAACCAAAGTCTTCAAATGTCTGTGCTGGAAATGCATGAATTCAGGGTGCGACTATAGGGGACGAAAATCAGTCATTCACACAGTGATAGATTATGGTGCAAAGCACATTTAGGAATATAAATCAAACACAGTTTTTCCACATATGGCTAGGTAGTATATATATTTTTTCACTTATTAACAGATTATCGTGGTGACTATTCCCGGACTGGAAATTAGATTAGCAGTGTACACTACAAGTCTGGAAACACCCCTTGTTTCCTTATATTTTGCTTCCAAGGAGACAGTCTTTTCTTGTAATTTTTAAAGTGGTCTTAAGCAGTAGGTCTCCAGGCTTTCTGAAGGTATTTCAGTGCTTTTCTTTGGACATTGGCTACTTTATTTTAAATTCGTTTGTGATCTAGTCCTATTCATGACCATTTTTGTTTGTTGGTGGTCTGTAGGTTCACTCTGGAATTCATGAAAAGGAAGCGACTGACAAAGATAAAAACATGGAAGTTAAATAAGGAAGAATAAGGAAAAATGTTGCACAGGGTTCAGGAAGAAGTTGGGACAGGGTCTGTGTGGTAGGGAAGAGTTACTATAAATAGCTGGAAAAGTACAGCTGTAGTGTTGTTGCACGAAGGTGTTTGGTGTAAACTCTGAACAGAGGAAAAAGGACAGGAAGTACAGGAAAGTATTCAAAGAAAAAGTGGGAGAGGCAAAGTACTGGAAGGCTAAGTGTATGGCAAAGAGAGAGGTAACAAAAAAAAAAAAAGAAAGGTTTATAGTGAGTTGTTTGTGAGACTGGAAACTGAGGAAGGAGAACTTGTATCAGATGGCTAGGCAGAGAAATTGAGCTGGAGAGTGAAACAGGTGTGTCAGTAAGATGCAAGGATTAGATGTAGTGAACGTAGATGAGAAAATACTGTAAAAACAACTCAAAGTGCAGTTTACCGGTAATTAATCTCTGCACCTATTTTTCAAATATTAAGAAATGAAGGGTGGCTCAAGACCTTTGCACAGCACCATAAACACTGACGTAAACACCAAATCAGAGGTGAAACTTATTAAAACGGATTAAACAAAAGGTGTGTAGCTGTGATAAAGTATGAATGACATTACAGGCTTTATTACTGGAAAACATCCTCAAAGGAAGGGAAGCTATATTTGTATGACATTGTAAATTTTAGTGGTAAAGTTAGATAGAAATGCTTTATTGCTAAACATATATCCCATATGAAAATAACAAAATGTTTATTCATGGGGCTTAAAATGTTAAAATAAGTCAATATTCTTTTCAAATAGTATTACAAAACCATTTTTTGTTTTTGTTTTTTAAGACATTGTGCTTAGTAGCAGTTTGTAAGAGCGTGACCTGCTCCTCACCCATTAGCTTGCAGGCTCCAGCCCTGCTAATTTTTGAAGGACAGATAGATGGATACCTTTATGGCTTTATATTTGTTTATTTACAATGCAGAAACATTGCTCAATAGTATCCAGTCTACTCTTGATTCCAGCATTTCAAGAATTATATAGCTTGAGAAATTCATTCTCAAGTTATATAATTCAGTCAAACTGACATATTGACAGATGACTTGTTTTACATAACATTCAGGGTGGGATACAGTATCTGTTTATTCTTTTTAAAGAACATGAGGATTGTGACCTGTCACTCAGTTCTGAAGTGGGGAATTATCCTATTGATGATCAACACTTGGGATGAACTAAACAGGTGATTCTTTGTGTTTAGTAGAAGAGAAACATCATAAAGGTAGGTGTTTCTCCTTGTACAAATATGAAAACACTATTGACAAATGAACACACAAATAGCATTAGTAATATCAGGTGCACCTTTATCACTCTGTGCATTCTGACGGTGGGTGTGGATAAGTGGGATTCTCTTTACACAACCGCTCATGTACACAGTGACACATGCAAAACCTGTGTTTATTCTGGATATTTAATGCAAGAGGCTGTATTTGACCAAGAACCAGTTGATTTTTTATATTATTACTAACTACATGAACAAATTTATCATAATAAATAGAGCAACATAATAAGAAAGGTTTGTAACAGAGAACTTGGGGCAACACCACATTACGTAGTTTCACTTTGAAGTGATTAAAAGAAGGTGTTCACTGACAAATCTCTGTCACCATCTGAAAGGCAGGAGGAAAAAATAAATCAAAAGTGACCCCCTCATTGTCTGTGTGAGTGATTAGACTGGAAAGCCCCTGATAAGAAATGCACAGGGTAATGTGGGAGGAAGCATGTCGTTTTAAGCTTAACAGATACTCAATATTATTTTCTCTGGCAATATTATCTCCACAAACAACATTTTTGGACATTGAATCTTTGTAAAAAGATGATATCCTATGTTGCAAACTCTAGGACCACACAGATATTGTCCTTTAAAAAGTTTTTATTTCAGGGTAATTTTATCATTTTATCATGAGACCTTCTGGAAATATCCTGACCCATGTCTGGTTAACTACAACACCACTAATGGGATCACAATAATAATGAGTGGACTTATATGATTTAGTCCTAAATAGTATCATTAATTCTCAGAGAAGAGCTGCTTTTGTGAAAGAAACAATTTGTAAGATTTTTTAGCAGAAAACATTCAAAAGTGAACTCAGTGGGAAGATATAGTAATGGTGACAGTCTCTGTGCTGCTTTGTATATTTATTAAACAAAACAGATAAACAAAAAAATTAAAGTTAGTATGCTAACTGTCCATATGTTATTTACCACTTAGTCCCTATGGCATTCAGTCTGCTCTTGATTCCAGCATTAATGAAGAAGACAAATTACAGTGTAGCTCTGCCTAGAGATCATACTTTTATTTTATACATCTTGGATTCTAACCTCTCGTAAGTCATGCTGAAGGGCAGGCAGGCAGTGAATTGAACAGTAACATCTGAAACACGTGCTAAGTAACCAGGGAGAACTGGTAAGCTAGGATTCATTTTTATCTAATAGCCCTTTTCCACTAGTGCCTACTCGGGTCAGCTTGGCACAGCTCAACTCGATTCTTAGGGTTTTCTATTAGATACCTATTAGATACCTGGTATCAGGTACTTTTTTTTTTAGTATGTACACAGCTGGGGTTCAAAGTGATTGAAGACAATCTTAAAATGTGATGTCAATGGACTGCTTGCCACCGACTGGCTATTCAGTGATGTCACTCGATAAATCATGAGATAAAAATCAGCTCTGTGCCGTTACGAATAGGGCTTAATTTTGACATCATGGTGCACAGAGCACATAAGGAGGGCAAGGACATCAGCAATGAATAGCAATGAAAGTCTGGTCAACTTAAAAAGTAAAAAACCACATGTAGAATAGAATAGAAAAATCCTTTAATTGTCCCACAAAGGGAAAATTGGTTGTAACAGCAGCAGAAGAAAAGCACATATACAAACAGAACACGACACAGGACAGAAACACACACAATTTTTGTCATTAAAAAAAACATTTACATCATGGACAATAGTATGTAGTAGTAGTAATGTAGACTAAACGCCCCACTTCTGTTTCATTTGGAGCTATCTCACAGAGAGAATAAAACTGCGTCACAGATTTGACGTCAAAGAAACGCACCTGGGGTATTGCCAGGATGTTTCAGCAGATGCTATCCAGGGCCAGTGGTCGCAGACTAAAGCATTTTCTCATGCTCGGTAGATGTGACTAGAGATCCCACTGCGTTAGTCACTAGAGTTTGTGAAGATATGGTGGTCTCCAGCCAATGTGGGAATTAGAGCTGTGAGGTGATTTACTGGAGGAAATCACTTTTAGTTTAGCTGGAGTTTTAATGAGTCAGAGAAAGGAGAAGGAGAGAAAGAAATGTAGAAGCATGACGAAGCCAAACATCACTTCCCTTCATGTCTGTTTTTAATTAACTTGTCCGCCCCCACCCTGTCTCAGCTTCCCTCCCGTCTGCCTGAAATGGGAGCCATAAGTCGCGTTTCACACCCTGGTCTCATTCCATCTGAGCAGCTCACGTTGCTTTAGAGGAAGCTGTCCCCCCAACCTTTCTCACCACTGCTGTAGCTCTGAAAACCAGCATGGTGATCATGATTAGTGTAACCTCCAACGTGGCTGATAATCCATACAAGGTTTGTACAGAAAATCAAG